CTGGCTCCTCCAGATGTCAAGCCTTAGATGGCCACGTGACCCAGCACTTACCCATACCCCAGAGACCCATAGGCAGCGGCCCAATAGGTGTCTGAAAACCAGCATTGTCAGCAGGGCTGTTCACAAGACCGGAGATGGAGGAAACACGAATGTCCATGGGCGGAGGAAGGACACACAAAACGTGGTGCACACGTCCGATGGGACAGGACCGCGCCTGACACTGTGATGTTCAGTACAGCATGAAGGAACCTTGAGGACACTGTGCCAGGGGAAACACCAGGCACAGAGCATGCCCTGCGCCAAGCACAGCTGCACTTCGGGAGGTCCGAGCTCTGCCGGGGAAGGCGAGGAGGCTCTGGAGATGGAGGGTGGTGCACCCACACGATGATGCAGACACACCTCACAGTGCCAGACTGTACGCTGAAAATGGGGGAAACGATAAAGTGCAGTGCGCATACTTTATCGGTGTTTTTAAGGTGGTCACTGCACCAGGGAGGCCCTGTGATCTCACAGCCTGGAGGGCTTGGGCACCCCTGGGACAGGAAAAGGGGAATTTACCAAAGCCTGCTGACCTGCTTGGCTGTGAGGCTGTGGCAGGATCCTGTGAGACAGGACGCTGGAGGACAGGAAGAGGTGGCACTGCTGGGCCTGACCTGTCAACCTCCGCCCAGCTCCATTCTGCTGCCAGACCCTCCATCCCATACCCCAGGACAAGTGACCTGGCGCTTTCGGTCTGCTCGGAAGAGCGGGCAGTGGGCAGGCTGCCACTGTGCTGGGATGCAGGGGCACCTGTCACACAGCCTCGGAATAGTCCACAGAGCTCAAACCTTCGGCCAGCGTTCTGGGTGTGTGGAGGAGGCGGGAGGCGACACGGCCCGCCTGGACTGTGCCCCAGGACAGGCTGGCCCTTCCCCACGGGGCCCTCCCGCCTGACGGGTCACTGTGCGCTGTTACAGAGGGCAGAGGTGGGGTAGGGGAATGGGTTCAGCAGCCGCTTCTGAGAGGCCTTAATCCCTTCCTTTCAGCACAGCACGGAGGCTGAAGGGAGGCTGAATGGAGCCTGGGGCCCAGCTCTCCAGCGGGGAAGGGGGGAGGGGGGCAGCTACTTGCTCTTCCCAACATCTGCAAAGCCTGCTTTGTGCATGTGCAAAGAACACACCTACATGGACACAGAGCAGGGTCTCGGATAAGGCCACGGAGGACATGGGGACAATGCAGGTTCAGGCTGGGCAGGTCGGGCGGGGTCTGAGACGAGCCTGCAGGTGATGCTGCTAACCCTCTGTGAGCTGGGGAAACCCATGCTCTTCGGGTAGCCTGAGCCGAGACCAGGGGACCAACTCGGGCAGAATGGCACAGGCCAGGAGCCCTCCCAGGGGCAGCACCCTCTTCCCACCTCTGTGTCACAGAGCACAGCCACCTGGGGCTGCCAAGAAGCCAGGCTCCGTCTTGGTCCCTTTAGCACATCACACGCACCACACTGAGGGCAGGCAGTGCACCTAGAGGCCAAAGGAGTCTTTTCTCCCCTTGCAGGGGTTTCCCAGTGGTCCTCAGACAGCATGATCAAAGATGGCTTCTACACCACGGCTCTGGGGTCCAGATTCCTGATTCAACAGCGCAGCTACAAGTCCAGCCAGACCACATCCAACATTGAGGGGGACTTCCTGATTTAGCAGTGCTGGGGCTTGAACCCAAGGTTAGGCTACATCCCCAATCCTTTTTACTTATTTTGAAACAGGATCTCACTAGGTTGCTACGTTGCCCAGGCTAGACTCAAACTTTTGATCCTCCTGCCTCAGCCTCACAGAGTGCTGGAGTTACAGGTGTGAGACACTGTGCTGAGCTCTCTGGAGATATTTACCTTTGGCCACATCCCCAACAATTAATTATTTCATAAGGACCCATGATAAAAGGAGGCAAGCCCATGCTAGATCATATCCTTTCCACTCTTTACAAAACTGAAAAACGGTGAGCTCACAGAATGTCAACATCAAAATAACCCACTCACGGCGTAAAGAACTGCCTGGAAAGACTGACTGATTTTATCAGAAACCCAGAGGAACCAACGGAGAACTTCTAAAATCCCATGGTTCTCCCTCCATACGTGTAGGCGCTTTCTCTCTCCAAACCTGGAAAAAGAAGAAGTAAAACGCCATATTCCTAAGTCTCGTTAATATCCATTCCAAGAACCACAAATAAACCTGTGGCGACGTAAACTAATGGAGGATTTCCCAACAGCTGATCGGTGTGGACGCATGTCAGAAAGCAGGAGCATTCTTTCATCGGCATGCTCATGCTGTCATGAGAAAGTCTAGTCATTAAGGAAGAATGCAGAGAGAGGGAAGCTCTGAAGGGTACGCTGAAGGGACACTTCAGAAAATGTCTGGCCACTTATTTTCTTCTAGTTAGCTTTTAGGAAAGATTTTAGGGCTCCTTGAATACTCACAGCACAGTCTTGCATATTCAAATCCAGATAATTTATATTCCGGTGGTTCTCTAGTTTATTAATATACCTATTTCCCCTCAATATCGGATCTCCCTTTTCACATTATTACAAACATCAGTCCATTTGCTCTGGGTAGATGACCTGCTTTTGAATGTCCTGGTGTGTCATAAAGTCTAGAACCAGAAGACAACCTAGAAACAATCCAGCTCCAAGATCCTCAAACTAGGGTACACACGTGCTTAAGCTGGGAGCCTCCCGGGACCTCAGAAAAGACAAGGTACATCTTCCCCAAGTGCTTTTTGACTCAGACAACAATTAAACTGGGATTTTCCTTTATATTAAAACAAGATGAATCCACACCAGCAGCAGTGGCATGCTCCTGTAGTCCCAGTATGGGGAGGCTGAGGTGACAGGCCTGGGGAACACAACAAGATCTTCCCATCAAAAATTTAAGAGAATTCCACATTCATTCTTCCTCAAAGTCCCAAGCCGTTGAGTTAACACTGAAGTGTTAGAAATCTCAGCCCAAGCTCCCAAATCCCCCTGTCTGGGTTTCTATTGCCCTGAAGATTACAGGGACAAAATTAGGAAGCATCAACCTCATCCATTCTGCAGCCAGACTGAGGCCAGGCACTGTCCTGAGGCCATGAATGGCCACCTGAGAAGTCACTGCCCTTGTTAGTCTTCCTAGAATGCTAGACCATGGCCCTAAGGAGGGTTTTAGGAGCATCCTGCCCCTTTTACACCCTCATCCGCCTTAGGTGCACCATGAATAGTCCCATAATTAAATGGGCTTCCTGGTGAATCATGCTGCAAAGCCTCTCTAAGCAGCTGCACATCGCTTGGCAATACATGTACTACAGTGTACCATGTCGTCACCACAACTTTGGACTCGTCGGTGCAGTCCCCTCTGCACGCACCTAAGAAGGCAGGTAGATGGGGAGCACTGTCAGAAGGAAGACTCTTCCTCAGTAAGTCTGTCCATCAGACCCTGACCCAAGACTGCAGCATAAAGTCTAAGAACCATGTGTTTCTTCATGAGGAGAGAGTCCCCGCTGCCATGTCCACCCTCAGAAAGAAGCATGTTTTTGTCACCCCACGGAAATCACCATGCACAACACATTCAAATGGGCTAAGCAGGTCAGGGTCCATCTGCAAACACCAAGGCCACAGAGCCATTGTTTGAGGAGGCTGGCGATTGTTAAATCACCCTCAAATTTACCAAACCACCTGGCCATACAGTCCACAAGGGTCTTCCTGAGGCTCCACAGCCCGAAATTTACCTCAGCTGTCCTCCAACCCTGTCCTCTCACATGAGCCCTGAGGGGAAAACAGGGACCACCCCTGGTTGAGGAAGTGGCACAAGAGAACCTTCGAGTCACAGAGACCGAAGAGGCAGGGAAGCCCAGGCGCCCTCTCCACACTGAGGACCCCAGGTCCAGGTGGGGAAGCTGGGCTGATTCCAGAGCCTCCCAGGAGAGAGCCCTACTGTGTTCGGGACAGGAGGGGGGTGTAATGACCAGAACAAAGCCCCACGAGATGTCAATGTAAAACGCTGTTGCTTTGGAAACTGAAAGTTTAGCAACTCCTTTCGATGTAAACAATGCTGTTATTGTCAAAGCCTTTGTACAGTATTTCATGTGACCTGCACAATAAACCGGCAGAAGGTAGTGATGAGTATAATCTCTGATGTATTATCCCAGCGCGCGCGGGGGGGGGGGGGGGGGCTCCAGTGGGAAAGAGAACTAAACACCCTCCCAGATCACCCAAACTTTTACAGATTCTCTGTTTCTTTAATCTTTACCATCCGGTGAAGTTAGGGACACAGGTCACAGAGCCAGGACAGAGAGCAGGCAGGCTCTGAATCCAGGTTTCCCGCTCCAAAGCCCGTGTCCTTAACTCACCAGAGTGCGGGAGCAGCAGCCACCCAGCCAGGGTGAGGACACCCTCTCTGGAGAGCTCCGCCAGGGATGGAAACCAAACCCCACAGATCCCTGGGGCTCCAACAGGAAACGTTCTGGTGCTGGGGCCAAGCTGAAACCAGAGCTGCTGCACTGGGGCTTTCTAGCTCGGCTCAGCAGCACCAGCTCCACTCTTGGCCCGGCGTCATCTGGGTCCCCTGTGATAAATGGGATCAGGGGTTGAAGAGCAGGAGGGCCAGGGTGTGAGCAAAGAGGAAGGCTGCCATCTGTCACCTCAGGTCCCTGCTCTGCAAACCTACCCTGCCGAGCTGGGGACGTAGCCTGCAGCCTCGAGTCTGCTCCGCTTTGCTGCTCTGGAGCTGGGAGCTGCGGGATCCTAGAACAGCTTGTTCCCAGGTCACCAGAGGCCCGTAGAGGAGAGGCGACGGCCCCGGTGCGATCTGCAGCGCGGGTTAGGGACAGGGACACGGCTGCACGGTGATTGCAAGCCGACAAGGTCCCGGGGAAGAAGTCGGAGGCCTGGACACTCGCGCTCGGGGTGGAGCAGGGGTCAGGGAAGGGGTGCCCGGCCGCAGCGCTCCAACTTTCGCTTCCTCCTAACACAACTTCAGAGGCACGATGTCGCCGCAGCTTACCTGCGGGTCCGGCCTCGCAGGAGGGTGACAGGTGACCGGGGCGGACGCAGGCCGGGCCGCCCGGACGCGATGTGACCGGCGCGGCTCTGCGGCGCTCCTGAAGGTCACGCTGTCACCGCGGCGGCCGCGACCCGCGCGGGGCGACACCGCGGGCGGAGACCCGGGCCGGCTCCCGTCCTCCCGCGTCCAGCGCCGGCCCAGCCTGGACTCCGCTCCCGCGCGGCGGCGCGGCGGGAACTCGAGGCGCCGGGACGCGGGGGCTCCCGCGGGGTCACAGCGCGGGTCACGGGCGCGGGGTC